AAGTTTTTTTTCCTTCCTTGCCTGCTGACCGGCTTCTGGCGATAGAAAATAAAACTTTTTGGGGCCTGAAAAGTTTTTTTTTCCTTCCTTGCCTGCTGACCGGCCTCTGGCGATAGAAAATAAAACTGTTTGGGGCTGAAAAGTTCTTTTTCCTTCCTTGCCTGCTGACCGGCCTCTGGCGATAGAAAATAAAACTTTTTGGGGCCTGAAAAGTTGTTTTTCCTTCCTTGCCTGCTGACCGGCTTCTGGCGATAGAAAATAAAACTTTTTAGGGCCTGAAAAGTTGTTTTTCCTTCCTTGCCTGCTGACCGGCCTCTGGCCCCCAAAAAAGTTTTTCTAGCCAAGCCCAAGCATGCAACAGAACCAATGCAAGGCTACCTCGTCGAGGTCGGCTAATTCTGATGAGCAAATTAAGGGCTGACCTCGCTAATTCCTGCAACCTGCCTCGTTGCCTCGGCTGTCCTCGCTATAATTTGTGCAGAAATATCCAATATGATCCAATATTATCCTATAAACCAAGGGTTTGTAAGGGGGGTTCTAGTATTCAGGAACACTAGGTGGAAGGATTATTTCAGGGAATATCCATACATCGGGACATTTCAATGAAATACTCACAATAAAAAATAGTTTTTTGTGGTCACCGATGGTTACTAATACAAGGATTATTTCACAATGGTTATATCCATACCCCATATGCTCCATGTATGGAATATTGACCTACATTTCCCCCAAAAATGGCCCAGTTTTGTAGGTAAATATTCCAGCACCATGGAGCATATGGGTACATTATCATCCATAATCCTCAATGGATTGGTTTAAGGGAAAATCTTAACCAGGAAACCATGGTTTTTACCATCAAATTGTTTGGGGTTTCCGGTTAAAATTTTCCCATCATCCAATTCTATGATAAGTATGGTTAAATCACCATTTATAGTGGTTAAATCACCATTTTCCCATGAATTTCACCATTGTTATTCCATTGTTTGTCGTGATCACAGCTATGGATTGATGGTTTAACCGTCCGGGGAATCCAAAAAAAAATCGCTATGGATTGATGACCGGGTATATCATCCAACTCTGAAAGGTTCAAAGCCTGGAGGCCCGGCCGGGTAAACATACAAAAAATATCAAGAACTGGAAAATCACCATCTGAAAATTAGGGTAGATCAACTATTTCAATGTGCCATTTTCAATAGCAAACTGTACCAAATCATCCCATTATTCACCATTGTTAACCATTAAATCACCATGTTTCTATGGTTTTCCATGTTAGTTTACTAGAGGGTAATATCACCATGTTAAATTACCAGAGGGTATGTGCAGTTGATCCCATGATCCCCACTAAGTGTCTCAACATCAAAACATGGCCTGTCTTTGATACCATGCAAAAAGAAACTATAAATGAGAAATAATCATATTCAATCATATAGATTGCATGATTATAGTTTTATGTGCATATATATATAATATTATATATAGTATTATATATATATATATAGTATGATATGTATATATATATATATACTATGTAACTATATATATACATATATATATATTGTATGTAGATTAATAATAATTATTATTCCCGCTTGTCGGCAAACTATTGTAAAACATCGCCGAGTGGCCGCATCGATTGGCTGTGGCAGTGGTGGCTGCATGATCAACGGAATCATCGAAACCTAAGTTACGTGCAGAAAGGTACGATACCACGGCCCCCCCAAACGATAGGAAAACCATAGGAAAATGGTGAAAAATGGTGAAAAATGGTGGATTTCCATAGGAAAATGCTGGTAAACTATAGGAAAATGGTGATTTAACCAGGAAAATGGTGATTTAATGGTTAACAATGGTGAATTTCATGGGATGACAATGGGATTTACCCTCTGGTAAACATACAAAGTTAGCTATTGAAAATGGTCATTTATAGTGGATTTTCCCACTCAACATGGCGATTTTCGACAGCTATGTTAGCTTACCAGAGGGTAACTTATGTAATCTTGTTTGTTAACTCCAACCAGTATGATTTATGGTACGCAAATAACTATAGTATTCATGTTTTTTTCAGCAACTTATAACTGGGGGGGGCCCACATTGTAGGGTATTCATGGGTATTCTATCCCGCAGGTATGGCTAATGGTTGAGAATGGTGTATATAAGTGAGTTGGAAATTGCTGATTCCGTTGAGGTTTAAGCGTTTGACAGCATATGACCTTCATGTTGTGGCAATAATCTAGACAACACGGAATCAGCACCCGGGCCTGACCATGTGTTGTGTGGTTTCTGGAGGCCAAGGTATATCTATTTCGTATCGGGTCCATGGTCAACCAAACCGGTTTAGCATTGATGATCGATTCAGGTTGGCTGTCATGCTGAGGCTTTCATCCCCAGCATGGGACACTCCCAGTTTCTCTATGTGTTCAATGACTAATTATGTGGAGGTTCCTGAAATGGGGGAATACCCCTAAATCATCCATGTTCATAAGATGTTCCGTTATAAAATGTCAAAAAAAAACAATCCATCCATTTATGGCTACCCCATTTCCAGGAAATCTTCTTTTTTTTATTGGAAAAAATACCATGGTTTAAGAAACCCCATGGGTTGGTGGTGAAAATCGCCTAGGGGATGACCGAGCGGAGTTTTCCTTCCGCAAGCCTTAAAAAGACATCATGGGGTATTCCAGAATATTCCAGAATATTCCAGATTAATGGGATAATATTGAGGTAATAATGGGATAACAATGGTTAATAATGCTTCATAATGGTTGCCAAATGGTTACGCATGGCAGTTGGATTATGAATAGTTCATGGATCCAATAAATGGTGATTTAACCACTAGGAAAATGGTGATTTAATGGTTGACAATGGTGAATAATGGGATGACAATGGGATTTACCCTCTGGTAAACAAACAGTTTGCTATTGAGAATGGTCCAGTTCAAATTGATTTACCTATTCAAGATAGTGATTTTCGATAGCAAACTGTTAGTTTACCAGGGGGTCTGGGTAAATTATAATAATTCACTAACCTGAAATAAGGCTATCTTGGGGATGATTCCCCTTACTAACCATGAAATATGGCTATAACATTCCAGAAATAACATTATAACTATATTGTATAACTGGTTATTATGTATGCTATAACAATAATATAAACATATGGTTTATGATGGTTTATTATGTACAACTGAGTGAACCAAGATGGTCATTCGCCATTGAATCTGAGATTCCTCTGATCTATGTAGATGTGCATCTCAGTCCCACACCCCGGCCCAGGGGTGCCCCCTAGTTATGAATTATATAAGGTATATCCACCATAAACCATAGGATTCACCTGTTTAGTAAGCCCCCAAGAAAAAAACGATTTGAATGACTTATCACGATTTTGGGATTGGAACATATTGGCATCATTTTTGGTGCCAATTGCAGTTGTGAAAACCAACCAACTTGTCGCAGGCGAAGCCCCTTTGCGAAGCGCCGCCACGACACATTGCTGCAATCCATCCCAGGGTGAATTGGCAGCGCGCCCTGGTGATAAAACACACGGTGGAGCTCCCTGGCCCTGACACCATTCGAATGGTGGAGTACTTTAAAAAGTACCCTCTGGTTATTTAACATAGCCATGGAAAATGACCCATTTATAGATGATTTTCCCATTAATACCTCCATTTATATGGGATTTTCCATGGCTATGTTAAATAACCAGATGGTATATACAACAAACATCCGGATTTCTAGGCGACTTATGTTGGCTAAATTGGATAAAATCCATTTGGTTAACTGCGAATGTAGTGGTTTATGGATGTTTCTGGTAAACATTTCGATCATGTTCGGGCTAGTAAGCACCAAGTGGGGAAACCCTCCACTGGATCAGTTCAATTGAAGCGAAACAAAAATCACATATTTGATGAATAGATTGGTTGAGTTGAAATGGATTTCAACTCAATGATTTATCATGGAATGTTATGATTTTAGTAGAGATTTACAATGATCTATATACAACTATACTTTGCTGATTTTCCGGTAAACCATCCATTGTAAACACATTGAACGTCTTTAGATCTTTACCTAACCCAGCCATTACAGTTTGACCGTGTTGTTACTCACCCATCTTACTATAGATACAACCGTGATAAACCTAACATCACACCTGCAAGCTGGTGCCACAGTGGCAAATAGGTTCTAAGCCCCATCAAGTATATTTCAATAAATATTTACTACAATAAACTTCATAATTCATAATAAACCATCTATAAATATCAATAATATGATTATTCAACTATGGCTTTCTATAGTTACCATAGTGTGGTATTTTCAAATAGTTCAATGATCATACGGTATTTTTCTGCCATACTAAACCATAGTTCAGCCAATGATGTGCACCACCTCAGACCGCGGTTGGGGATCCCTACCTGCCCAGAAAAGCTCGCATCGTCTGGGGGCATCCAAACCTCAGCGATTTGGGGGTCCAAATCATCCCGAATCCCAATCCATAGGAATCTTTGAACAAATCTACGCATAAAAAAAAAAAATACTTGGTGGCTCATCCCACGAATTGTAAGTGGGTTATAACCCTAGTTAATCCTAGTTATAAGTACATTAACCCTACTTATCCCGCTTATAATTTTGGTTATAATCCACTTACTAACTGGGATGAGCCACCAAGTATAATTCCACAACACTCCAAAGGGTTTATTATGAGTTAACCCACTTTCTTCGGCCATAACTTGTGTTTATCCCATGATTGTCACCATTGCTGGTTATACCCCTGTGATCGTTGGTTCAATCATGACCCACTATCTATATATATATATATATACTGTGTATATGTATATATGCTTTTTTGGTTATTACAGAGGGTATACTGGTTATAACATGTTAAACATGGCAATAGACAGAATCATTCTATCTGGGTAAATGACACCATTTCACGAAACTGAAACGTGCGGCCATTTGGGGATGATTCCCCAAATCCTAACCATAATTCCAGTGAGGTCACTATAATTCACCCTTTTCCTCGTGTCGAGGGGGTCCACTCGCATGCTCGCAGCGAACGAATGGCCTTTAGCCAGCCGCAACTAGCCACGCCTGAACTGTACCATGCAGACAGCCTGTGGTGGTCACAGGTCTGCTCAGCATCCTTCAAAATCGCAACGGGTTTTGTCGGTTGTTCTTCCATTGTTGAACCTTCTTAACTGCTTTCATTGTCATGGAGCATTTCGAATGCCAACTCTGCTGCAGCTCTCTGGTGACTGCCAAGAACCTAGTCTCATCACACTGCACGGGCAACTCGGGCACTGTCTGGAAGGCAGGGCCTTTGTGGATTCCCAAGTATGTGTGCAGGATGGTTATGACTTGATCCTGACATGGGAGTTGAACACGGGTCTTATACCCACTAGTGAACACAGCAGCCCCTTGAACATACATACTTCTTATTAAGCCCCGTTCACAAGTCGGCAAAGGGCTGGGATCCTGCAGATCGCAGACCTGTTTACACACCTGTGAAAAGGCATTTACAAGTTCAGAAAACTTAATCCCATAAGCAACTAGTGAAGCTGAGTCTTTAAATGGAATCAAACGTTCAATGCCTCCAGCAGTCGTTCGCTTTATTGGCAAAAACATCTGTTCACTGATCATGAAAGAAAGTACCATTTCATACCATGAGGTTCCAAGGTGCTGATCTGGGTGCTGATTGTCAGAGTCTGGCCATTGGAGCGCTCGCATCCATTTGTCAATGGCCTTTGCTGTGGTCTGGCCCCATGCACAGGCGTGCAGTTCCTGCATCCGCACATCTGGTGGAGTCCATGCGGATCGCACCCTGTAATTCAGAAGCCTATCCCGAACAAGATGTCTTTGTGTCCCTGCATGCAAGGTTTGAGAAACAGCTTGCGGTTGTGCCTGTTTGATCACGGCTTTGCGGTTTCGGATTGCGACATGGAACAAAAAAAATCCTTAAGGTGGGATCATTGGGTGTCAAGTTGATGGTGCATTTGAGTATATTCCTGCACCAGCGTTGGAATGAGATGCCAGCATGCGGTGATTGCTGCATCATTCGCTTTCTTGTTTCCAAGGCGGTGGTACAGGTCAAGCCAAGTGACATTGTCCTGAGTTTCAGCATGCGCTTTAACTTTGTGAAAATGTCTCTGACCAATATGTATGACACACCAAAGCCTGTAAATTAAGTCAAGGTCATCCATGTCGTGCAAAGTGGCAAAAGCTGTGGCTTTCTGGCAACGTTTGATGGCATTGAGGGCTACTTGGGAGTCTGTACGAATGCAAGTATTATAAAACCTTTCGCAAAGATATAGGATGACTGAGAGTTCCGCTCTATGTATTGTCTGCTCGCCTTGGGTTCGACAAGCGTTCAGAAGAATCAAGGTCGCTGGCATGGCCCCAGTGCTAGGAAAGGCCTTCGCGGCCTGAGTCCTTTCCTCATTATCTGAAGCCAAATCAATTACCATGGAAAAAGAACTGAACCTTGTATTGGGTGATTGAGGGAACTGACAACTGCCATCGGTATAAAACTGCAAAGTGTGTCCAAGCATATCAAATTTGTGTAGCTGAGTATATATGGGTTCAGGGATATCAACAGCAGGCTGAATTGCGTGGGTGAGTTGGATCCACTCAAAATTTTCATGCTGGTGAATTACCGGTAGCTCATACCATTCACCAGGACCACGAGGCATCACCAAGGTGTCTTCAGCCCGTGTATAGAGGCTGAGAACAGCTATCTCAAGGGCAGTCACGTCCATGCACATCAGCAAGAAGGCACTGAACCGCACCTTATCAGCTTTGGTGCTTGCCATTTTGACAGAAGTCAGGTCCCTGCCAATCTGAACCACCTTGAGCAAATGACCAGGCATCACTCCAACGTGTGTATCGACTGACTGGGTTGTGAAGGCCACCGAAAGCTGCGCCAAGTTTGGCGGGACCAAAGCAGAATCCACTTTTGATCCTTTCTTGCCCTTGTCACCTTTGCCCTTGCCTTTAGGGTCGCCTTTCTTGGGATCTCCTTTCCCTTTGCCCTTCAGCTTGTTTTTCTCGGACTCATGCTGTTTAAACCGTTCACGAAACTGAAACGTGCGGCCATTTGGGGATGATTCCCCAAATCCTAACCATAATTCCAGTGAGGTCACTATAATTCACCCAGATACCATTGGTATTGACTGACTTTCTTATCGAATATTGTTGATTTACAGCCCCATTGGTGGGCTGTAAATCTGGAGCACCAACATCCCATATCCCAAGTGTATCTCTATGTCATTACCCATATGCGCCATGTATGGAATATGTACCTACATTTCCCCCAAAAATGGCCCAGTTTTGTAAGTAAATATACCATACATGGAGCATATGGGTTATAAAATCCCTAAAATTGGCTTCTTCTCATGTGGGTATGGATCAATACCTATTAATACCATTTTTAGGGGAATGAACATCCATTTACCAGCTATTTTGATGTTCACCAGGGGTACAAGGTTTTGACACACTGCCATGTAGAATTCCTTTTAAAAAAAAACGCGGAGCCAAGACGCCGGTGGGTGCACACCAACGAACATCACCTAAGATGCGTGGCGTTGTGATAGTTGGATCCAGCCGCCAGCATGAGTGCGTAAATATACTGGTGATATCCTGGTTGTATAACATGGACAAATATAACATGATATATATATATATACATATATATATACCGGTTATGTGAAGATGTTATATAGTTTACATCCATATATTTACAATCATATCCCATTCTAAGTCATTATATATACTGGTTATTTAATCAAGATATGGCTCTAGATTGGAGAAAGAAATGACACCACCACATTGGTCATGTCTTGGCCTTGGCCTATGGCCTTGTTTCAGGACTACGAGCAGCCTCTTTTGTGCCACCCAGTCACTGTATCAGACGTCATTGGTAGCACACCACAAGTTTGCCCACCCATCCTCAGTGAGGCAAACGTGACCTTCCATCTTCGAAAGCCTGACATATCTGACATCATGCAGTTATGGCCAATTATTAGTTATAACTGGTTATAAATGGGATAGTACATTCTATAAATGGAGTTATAAGTACTTACAATTGGTATTTCGGACCATAACTGTGGCCATCATGGCTCCCCTCTGCCAAGTCAGTTCTTAGCAGGATGGGGGAATGGTTGACGTGTCCGTGTCGAAGACATTTAGTGGTCTGTGGATAGTAAACTGATAGTGGTTGGGGTTAGTCCACTTGTTTGGAAATACCCTATGGAGAATGCTGATTAATGTAAAATAAATTCTGCAACAGATTTGATACCATTTTGGTTTCTCCAGCGCTAACTCCATGGTTAGGTCTTATAAGGTTGCTAAATATTGTTCAAAATTCGAATGTTTATATGTTTACTACATGGCTAATCTTAGATAAGAGTGCCCTGCCACACAAAAAAGCAGCTGGTGTGATATCGTAATATGTAATGTATGTAATGTATGTAATGTATGTAATGTAATGTATGTAATGTATGTAATGATATGTAATGTATGTAATGCATGTAATGTATGTAATGTATGTAATGTATGTAATGTATGTAATGTATGTAATGTATGTAATGTATGTAATGTATGTAATGTATGTAATGTATGTAATGTATGTAATGTATGTAATGTATGTAATGTATGTAATGTATGTAATGTATGTAATGTATGTAATGTATGTAATGTATGTAATGTATTAATGTATGTAATGTATGTAATGTATGTAATGTATGTAATGTATGTAATGTATGTAATGTATGTAATGTATGTAATGTATGTAATGTATGTATGTAATGTATGTAATGTATGTAATGTATGTAATGTATGTAATGTATGTAATGTATGTAATGTATGTAATGTATGTAATGTATGTAATGTATGTAATGTATGTAATGTATGTAATGTAATGTATGTAATGTAATGTATGTAATGTATGTAATGTATGTAATGTATGTAATGTATGTAATGTATGTAATGTATGTAATGTATGTAATGTATGTAATGTATGTAATGTATGTAATGTATGTAATGTATGTAATGTATGTAATGTATGTAATGTATGTAATGTAATGTATGTAATGTATGTAATGTTTGTAATGTATGTAATGTATGTAATGTATGTAATGTATGTAATGTATGTAATGTATGTAATGTATGTAATGTATGTAATGTATGTAATGTATGTAATGTATGTAATGTATGTAATGTATGTAATGTATGTAATGTGTAATGTATGTAATGTATGTAATGTATGTAATGTATGTAATGTATGTAATGTAATGTAATGTATGTAATGTGTAATGTATGTAATGTATGTAATGTGTAATGTATGTAATGTATGTAATGTATGTAATGTATGTAATGTATGTAATGTATGTAATGTATGTAATGTATCTAATGTAATGTATGTAATGTATGTAATGCATGTAATGTATGTAATGTATGTAATGAATGTAATGTATGTAATGTATGTAATGTATGTAATGTATGTAATGTATGTAATGTATCTAATGTAATGTGTATATATATATATATATTATTTCACCATTTATGGCCGAAGAGAAAAACAATTGCACCAATTACCTGTCCACAGTTTCCTGCCCAGATTGGGGTGCTAGGCGTTAAGGGCGTGTTTGTCCCTCGAATGCCGCGGCCTCGGGATATAACCAGTCGGACGCCTTCGCTTTGAGGAACTGGCACTTGACAACACGCCCGCTGCAGGCGACTTGTTTCTGCACCGCGCGGTGTTGCCTTCTGTTTTGTTGGTGCTTGACAGTACTTGGTGGTTCATCCCACTTAGTAAGTGGTTTATAACCCCAGTGATTTACATGGGATAAGTAGGATAAATCCACTGAAATCACTGGGGTGAACTAACCCACTTACTAAGTGGGATGAACCACCAAGTATCTCCCTTTGCCTCTGCGAGGCCCTTTGGCTTTTCCTGCGAAACTCGTCCCTCTGACCTCCGAATCTTAGCCAAGCATCTGTCCGTCCCACTGCAAGCCTTCTTGCAAGGCTTGTCCGTTCCTAGGCTGGTCAGTTGCTGCCTCTCTGGGAATTGGGTTGATTGCAATCGAAATTTACACGAACGCAATGATCCAAAGCAGTTTTTTCAATGCAAAGCCATGTAATATTGGGTCATTTAATTATACTTGAGCCAGTTTGGGGGTGAATATTGCCACAACTGTTGCCATGAAAGGAGGCCATGCTTAGACATCCTATCTGTTTGCTAAACTGATGCCAAAGCATTGAATCGCCAACCCACATGTGGGTTGCAATGAAGAGGCAACCAGTTGAATATATGTAACATGACCATTTTGGCGAGCTCAAAAAGACCACTGCACAGCTTGAAAACAACTGATGCTGCTAAGAGTCATTCCGTTCTGGTGTCCTTCAAATTCTCCTGCACTGAGATATGGTCGACCACATGTGGCTGACTTACCCTCTGGTAAACTAACATAGCTATTGAAAATGGTGATTTATAGATATTTATAGTGGATTTTCCCATTGAAAATGGTGATTTTCCATAGTTACGTTAGTTTACCAGAGGGTAATCCGGCTTGCTGAATCATCATTTTCCCCATGAAAAATGGACCATTTAAGGTGGAAAAAAAACCGACAAATTAACACAATTTTCAGAGATCCATATTTCACGGTGAGGTCGCTAGGTTGAACAGGGGATGATATCTACATGTATATATATATGTGATTATATATTCATGTAAGGTCTATGTAATGCCTATGTACGAGAAAATCCCTGAAATGTTGCAATTCTGAGAATTCTGAGAAATTTCAGCGGCAATTCTGAGAATTCTGACTGATCAAAGTACCCACCCAGTACGTTTCCTCAAGATCTTGGGAGGAACTCTACAAAACCCGCCCCGTGTCCTTGGCCAAAGACGGTTGGTTCCTTGCAGGATTGGACGCGACCAAATCATGGCGATTTCACCAACGAAAAACTGCACGATTTCTGTGCTAAAACTAGCTACCCCATCCAGCAGTTACCCTCTGGTTATGACTAACATAGCTATTGAAAATGGTGATTTATAGTGGATTTACCCATTGAAAATGATGATTTTGCATAGTTATGTTAGTTTACCAGAGGGTATCATGCTTGATCCTAACTAAAACTTGCCATAAAGTTCTATTTCGTTCAGGGATTTTACCGAGCTGGCCATGCTGTTCATCACGCATGTCATGGTATGTCTCTGTAGATCTGCAAATACCAAGGTTAGCAAGGTGTAGTTGATGAAACTCTATGTTGTATATATATATGTATATATCACCATGATTTGTTGGTTACATCAATTGTAAATATTCAACAATTTAACCATATATAGCCAGTTATAGATGATTTTCATTGATTTTCCCATCCAAAACTCTCATGTTTAAGGGTTTCCCTAGATGGGTATGGGTCAGCATTGGGTACCTCAAGAATTACTGGTTAATATTAAACATAATATATATATGTACACTAAAATCTGATCCTATAGGGCATAAATGTTCACCCATCCCCAGATCAGCAAATCCAGATTAACCAGATATAGCCAGTTATAGATGATTTTCCTATCCCAAACTCTCATGTTTAAGGGTTTCCCTAGATCAGCAAATCCAGATTTTTTCTCCAAGTAACCCAAGCAACTTGGCCGTGCTCAAAAGCATCATGCGTGGTGTGACGGCACAGCGATCCGGGCATAGGGTAATCCTGGCAGAGGTAGTCTGGCCCACAGGCTGGAACCAAGGAAAATGGGGGGATCTCAAGATAGCAATGGGTCCTATAAATTGTGATTTAATGGTGATTTAATGGGATTTAATGGGAATTAAATGGGATTGATGATTGATGTGGATATACCCTCTGGTAAATTAACGGTTGGACCCTGAAAATATGTAGATTTTATCTGGGTAAAATATAGTAATTCACTAACCTGAATTAAGGCAATTTTTGGATTATTCCCCTTACTAACTATGATTATAGTGAGGTCGCAGTGAGGTCGTTATAATTTACCCAGATTTTATATAGTGGAAACCAATCTTCCAACCCCCATCTGCCAGGGTCTATGTTAATTTGCCAGAGGATATCTTAATCAAGAGACAAATGAAATTGTCAGGAACAAAAAACGGACTTTGACCACCAAACCAAACATTATAAACATTGGATTCTAATCAACTGAAATTGGATTCAGCCAAGACAATCTAGCCATTCATATTGGGTTTGGTCAAGACATAGATGGAACATTCAATAATAGTGCTGGTATGAGCTTGGACCATCCCTGACGAGAAATTAGTCCAAAACTTCAAATCGCTAGGAAATTTGTTCCACGACCCTCTTTGTCCAGTCACCTAAATCATCTAGTCTGATGTTGGAAAATATGCATCATCGGCATCATGACCAAACAAAATGCCGGAGAATATCCCTTGATTGCATTTGAGAGTGTTTATATACCTACTGTAGATCCCAAACAATGCATGTACATTCATCTTAGTACGTTTATGTTTTTCCTGGGTACTTTGAGGGTCAAGGTAGACACAAAACACACGCTGTCCGTCGTCTCCTCTTTGGTCAAGAGGTTGGGAGTCACGTCGTTTACCTGATCTCTCTGTTCTGCCATTTCGTGCAAAGACGTAGTACAAGGCAGGGCCCCGAAAGATGGCAAAGTTGTTTGAATAACTTGTTTAACCATGGTTCATGGTGGATATATTGAACTTGTATGAACTTGTTTTCTATATATATATAGATATATAATGGGCTTCAAAAAAAACAACAAACATGCTTGCGGGGCACCACTTTGTAGGTTTTCACATCAAGATAGCGTGTAATTAATCATTCTTTTGATCTCACCATGTATGTCGGAAGATGGCTTTTGATCCTTCCCAAAACATCCCTGTTTTAGTGGGATTAAACCACCGATGGAGGGGTTTAAGCAAGCTACAGCGAATCATATTAGTACTTAAATGTTCCAATACATATATATATATATATAAACTATGGTTAATCTATGGTTAATCTATGGTTAATCTATCATCATCTTCAGAAAGTATTGCACTCTTTTCAAAGAGCTGCGAAACCACCTATCGACTGCTGCAGGATTCTGAAAAATCTGAAAAATCCACAGTGTGCCGCCTTGCGTATTTACAACCCACGAACAGCCGGGCAGCCGCAACGATTGTCTTCAGCTCATTCACGGTGCCCAGGACCTGCGAGTTTGTTTGACAACTTTTCGGTGCAGCACGTGGCAGGTGTGGCAGGAAGAATAGCAAAGCAGGATGTGGCATCTGGATTACCATCTGGTTATGACTAACATAGCCATGGAAAATCCCCCAAATAAATGGAGGTTTCTAGCTGGGAAAAATCATCTATTTCTATGGGCCATGGCTTCCATGGCTATGTAACAAATAACCAGAGGGTAAATACAATGTGGGGCCCCCAAACGATAGTTAACTTGGTTTACAACTCCAATAAGTATATGATTTATGGTACGCAAATAACTATAGTATTCATGGGGTTTATAAAGCAACACAAATAACTGGGGGGGCACAAAACGTAGGTGGTTTTGATTCTTGATACTTGTTTTGTTCGTTGGTTTTTGTTCGCCAAAAAACTTGGAGATGACTGAGCTGACCCTGAATGAATTGTAGTCTGCCCCCCAATTAAGCGCGATGCTGAATATGCTGAATAGAAGAGGATGACTACAGGTATAACTGGAACCATAAAATGGAGATGTTTTTATCCAAAAGGGGGATGGGACTGCACTAGTTGGATTATTGGTGGATGATTATAACCAAGAAATACCAAGAGATACCAAGAGATACCAAGAGGGGAATTTTAGCTATCAAAACGGCTGGTCATTTGGGGATAACCACATGGGACCATGTGGTCCTGTCTTGTTCGCTCCCTTAAAGTTTAGGTCCCTAGCTTCGCTATGGTTGACGGGATGATTTGCGGTAGATGTTTTTACCCTCCAGTAAATTAACATAGACCCTGGCAGTCATCGGGGTTGGAAGACTAGTTTCCACTAAAAATTGGTGATTTTCAGGGTCTATGTTTATTTACCAGAGGGTACATTTTATGGGGTTTTCAACCCAACTTGTTACTGGCCGGAACACCTTACGGTGTTCGGCTTCTGCTTGTGTGGATCCCACACCCCGAGTCCGAAAAAAATGGATGTCGCTGGTTGATGATGGTGCGGTTCACCACATGTTGGCTGTGTTTTGAACACATTTTGTGTATCTTCCAGAATATCAATATAATGTATCCCATATGCTCCATGGTGCTGGAATATTTACCTACATTTCCCCCAAAAATGGCCCAGTTTTGTAGGTAAATATACCATACATGGATCATATGGGTATTGTAAGTTGATATGTTCGTCTTTCTCCCTATTGGTGAGAAAAGGATTGCCCAGATCATCCCAAGAATCTTCGCAATTTTCCCATCGCAGGATGATAGCATGATTTGTTCATACGAAAAGGAAACATGTCTCAGTTACGGTCCCACTTACGTTCATGTTTTAGACAATGTTGCTTTCAAATGTCCTCGTGTATATATATATATGTTATGATGCTTCCCATATGGTACATATGTCATATCATAAGCATATATTTTCGATAGATGCACACTTCATCATATTTCCATGGATTTTCCGATATACCCTGGGATAAACGAACATATATAATATGTAATGTATAGATGTATATAGATGTTCAAAACCCATTGGTTTTCTTAGAAAAAATGAGTAATACAAATGGTGGGGCTTCCACATCTACCATCTGGTTATTTACCATAGCCATGGAAAATCACAATTTTTAATAGGTACTGTAAACCATCTATAAATGGGCCATTTTCCATGGCTATGTTAAATAACCAGAGGGTAAATCAAATTACTGGAGGTATCCCATGTGATCCTCCATTATAGTATCTCACCGATGAATAAGCCATTATCAGTCCACAATTAAGTCACTGTCATTGGTTGTTACCCCATGCTCATGGTTTCTGATGGCTTATATCTGCCATAAATATAAATCATGTATATATATATATATATATGGTTATGGGCCAAAATTCGATACCCCTAAGATTGGATGATTCATACATGGTTTTTCTTTATATGCTTTACCCGGCCTGGTAAACCTTTACAGAACTATGGGAAATCACCATGCTATTCATGGGTAAATCAACTATTTCGACTGGGCCATTTTCAATAGCTATGTTTGTTTACCAGAGGGTAATATCCCATATCATCCCATGAAATTCACCATTGTTAACCATAGAAAATCACCATTTTCCTAGTGGTTAAATCACCATTTTCCTATAGTTTTCCTATAGTTTACCAGCATTTTCCTATGGAAATCCACCATTTTTCACCATTTTCCTATGGTTTTCCTATGGTTTTCCTATGGTTTTCATCAACAAATGCAGACTTCGCCGGGGCCCCATGACTTTCACCCTGCCTTGGGCACCGTGACACCCTCATCCTCCGAGTCCGTCTCGACGTCGGACACGTCGCGGGCAGACTTCGCCGGGGCGGTCTGGTGACGACGCAGCACTTGCTGTTCCACTTGGTAGGCACCTGGGACATCGGGGACTCGGGAAGGGATTTAGCCTCTGGTAATTTAACATAGACATAGCTATTGAAAATGGCCATTTATAGTGGATTTACCCATTAAAAATTGTGATTTTCTATTATTATAGTTATGTTAGTTTACCAGAGGGTATCTGATTATATATATATATATATTTATACACGTATATTTTATATATACCCTAAAAGCCCAAGGGAACTCTATAAGGAACTATATTATATCCTATTATATGATCGTGAGATCATGGTGAACATGAAACCATACAAGGTGAGGCCCCCGTTAGCTAAGTTGACGCACAGTTCACCTGGTTAAGTGTTTCGTATATCAATCTATAGTTAATGAGGGTTATACACCAACTTATACATATATATATATATATACAGTATACATATTGTATATATATATATATACATATATATACAACTTACAACATCTTACAACCTTGTATGAGCAATCCCGGAAAGGTTCACGAAAAGGACATCCCAAAAAATGCTAGCGAATCTGGGGGATCGAAGAGGGGCTTCCGGGAAGGTCCCGACTCGTTGACCTGTAGAATTTCTGAAATCCAATGTCCGTCCCTTACATGGTTGAAAAATAGTGGTTAATCATATGGTTAATTGTGGTTAATAATGGTTAATCATGGCTGATAATGCTTAATATCTGGTTGGTGGTTTTGAGCTGCTAACCCCTCTGAAAAATGATGGAGTGAAAGTCAGTTGGGATGGATGGAAATTCCCAATATATGGGACAATAAAACATGTTCCAAACCACCAACCAGTTATGATTGATGCAGTAAACTGGCGGTGGCTCGTTGACTCAATGCCAGTGGTGTCGAATTCCTCCGCGATCCCAGCAGTCCCAGGTACTGGCGCAGACGTCGTAGTGAAGGAAAGTGTTCCTGGGACGTGTTGCACCCTACTTTTGGGATGGTGTTAGGATGGTGGGAGGTCGATACGGATACCACTAAACATACCCAAAAACGATGGAACATCACAATCGAATTATCTACCCTCTGGTAAACTAACAGTTTGCTATTGAAAATGGCCATTTATAGTGAGTTTTCCCATTAACAGCATGGTGATTTCCATAGTTTTTTGTTAACGTTTACCAGGCCGGGTAATTAATAGGTAAAACATCGAACTCAATGGGCTATTTTCGTCATGTTCGTTTAGAGGGTATATCATATCTAATGTCTACAATGTGAGGCCCCCGTTCGATAGCGTTCAGTTGGTTTATAACTCCAATAACTATGGTTTATGGTATTTATAACTATAGTTACTGGGGCTTACAAACCAACTTATAACTGGGGGGCCTCACATTGTATAGATAGTTGGGATTTGAAACCAACTTCAACCGGATTGCTCATTATTGCTCCCGAGAACGCCCTCCGATTTTTTTACATCCTGATACAAGTGGGGTAAAGAGGCTAGATTGCGAAAGAAGGATATAGAATCACAATCTCTCTCCCCTTGCGCCTATCAACTATACCCGAGCCGCGGGCTGGAGCAACGAGCAACCCAACCCTATTGAGGCGCACCATATCACCATTTCATAGGCATAGAATGGGTATATAACATGATAATACATGACTGGTTGGTGGTTGACCTACCCCTCTGAAAAATATGCGTTCATCAGTTGGGATTATTCTTCCCAATATATGGAAAAAAAACATGTTCCAAACCACCAACCAGATGATATAACGGGATATATCACCGGTACTCTGATTTGATCTTTGGACCCACTTGACTCCTGATGAGTACAATTGGATTGGTCGCGGGGATATTTCATGGATTGATCGCCAACAACATACCGGGGTATAGTGTGATACTATGGCATATAATGGGATCTACTATGATCTACTACCAATCTGATACATGGGTTTGTCCAGAAATTAGGAAACTAATTGATTCAACCAACACAAAATGGATAGCTACTGCAAGCAACTTTATATGATCTTGGGTATGTCTAAAAATGGGGAGTGTTGAAAATTGCCCTTGAAATGGGGAAAATGAAGATTATCATTTAGCCACCCACAAAAGGCAACCCCCCAAAGAATAGGGGTTTATTCAGGGCTCAATCACCAGCTAATGGAGTTTCATGGAGTTTCCGGCAAATGTCCACTCTTTGGGGACCAATGAAAATGGGATAAGCTACAAACGTGGTGAATTCATAGGATTTCATTGGGATATAATGCCAAAAAGAATTGGGATATAGTCTTAGTGGGATATACAACCAACTTGGGGGTGCACCTACTTGGGTTATCTCTTCATAAGTATAACCATGGCAACTAACCCCACAAGGCCGGGTAATTTAGCACCAAAGTCCCCAAAGCCTATGCTTGTACATCCAGTTACAACTGGAACTGTACCTCCAAGTATTCAGTGAACTTCTGCAATGTGGGGCCCACAAGATAGGTAAGTTGATTCAAATCACGAGGTTTAGCAGGGTTTTTGGTATGACAATCCGATTAGATGTATTTATAATCCAACTTACCATCTGGTTATTTAACATAGCCATGGAAAATTGCCCATTTATAGATGGTTTACCTATTAAAAATGGTGATTTTCCATGGCTATGTTAGTCATAACCAGAGGGTACGTATAATGGAGAGCCCACATTTCAAATATAGCATATGTGGAGGTTTCCTTAGGTTGGTGGCACCCTAAGATCATCCATTTGAGATTGAGATTTTCCTTTATAAGCCATCCAGCTATTGGGGTACCCCCATTTTAAGAAATCCCCATGTATGATTTTCTTAAAAGCAATTTATATACGCATGCTCAGACCATCCAACGTTGTAAGGTGCACATGGGAGAAGGCAGAACGCTTCCACTAAGTTGCCTGAAATCATATTTACAGCATGGTTTTTGGTGTACATCGTTGTATATCTACAGTATTCTACAGTTACATATATAGATGGAATCATAACTGGGGGGGGGCAACATTGTCTGGTTGGTGGTTTTGACAATCTTCAAAAATATGAAAGTCGATGGGAAGGATGACATCCCATATATGAAATGGTACATAAAACATGTTTGAAACCACCAACCAGTTGTGAAAACCAGGGAAGGTAGCCTCCAGGGGCTTTTTCCCATGTCATAATGAATTCGAAAAATCCGAGCGTCTTCACGGGTGGCTGCACTCCGGCAAAAAGCATCTGCTCATCGTTGCGATTCGTCCTGAGCTGTCACGCCATGGTGAAATTACCCAGGAGAAAACATCCTTCAGAAGGGGTGGCTGTTCCTAGCTTTTCTTTGCGGCAAAAAGTGCTATTTTTTGCCATGGTCATTTTATGTAGGTCAACATATACTTGGTGGTTCATCCCACGAATCGTAAGTGGGTTAGTTCACCCCAGTGATTTCAGTGGATTAACCCTACAAAAATCCCATTTATAGGACAAGTTATATAGGACAAAAAAGCCAGAAGGGCTGGCATGGAATGTCACGTCGTATGGTCGGTCATCTATCCCATGACGGGAATCCACCAAGGGATTTTTTACAACAAATCCATCTAGCGACAGAACTTACCAAAGACAACACACCTCAAAATTACTGGACCATTTTAGCCCTATGGATCCAATCGTACCTTCTTAGGAAGTGGGACTGGGGTATGATTTGGAGGGTTTTTTGTACCTTCTCAAACAGTCTTTGGATCCATAGGGAGTAGCTGAAAACAATAATTATGGTACAAAGTGATGCCCAAGTTACGTGGGGTCTACCAAAAAGGTGGCGTCCCCTGGTTGTAGCTCGGTTTTACAAACCCGACCACAGTTATTTTATCACCATAAACCGAAGATAATCTAGTTACAAAAATTACAAAGCAGCTTTCCGAACTGGGGCAGCACCTTTTTTGCAGGTTTGAGTTGAATGAATTGGGCACAAAAAATCATCCTTGCAGGAGCTGTTCATGGTAGGTAACTGGGCTGGACTGGTTCGTTTTATAACCGGAAAAATACCTGCAGGGGATAACCATTTTATAAACATACAGAAGATCATGATAAAACCATAGCTAGTTGGTGGTTGGCTCAACCACCCCTCTGAAAAATAGTGGTTAATCATATGGTTAATTGTGGTCAATAATGGTTAATCATGGCTGATAATGCTTAATAACTGGTTGGTGGTTCAGCCACCCCTCTGAAAAATGATGGAGTTCGTCAGTTGGGATCATGAAATTCCCAACTGAATGGAAAGTCATTAAAAATTGCATGGTTCCAGTCAGCACCAAGCAGTGTTCTAATCACTATCATTAACATATTCTTCCAACCATTTGAACCATTGAGATACAACCATTTATGATACCAACCAGGCTTTTTAGGGCCCTATCTTGTCATTTTTTAAAACATATGAAACATTTCCTGTTGAAATCGCGCGCGCAGCATTTAACACGACAGGCTCGCGCGCGAGACGCGCGAGCAAATAGAGGCGCGCGCGCGCGAGGTGCCCGAGCAAGGCTAAGATGCGCGCCTGTGTTCGCGCGCGCGCCCGTCCGACACGCGCGCGCGCGCAAATAAGCTCTCCAAAAGTGGATTTGGTGAGCTTATTTGCGATTTGGAGAGCTTATTTGCGCGCGCGGAGAGCTTATTTGCGCGCGCGCGTGTTGGACGGGCGCGCGCGCGAACACGCGCGCGCATCTTGGCCTTGCTCGCGCACCTCGCGCGCGCGCGCCTCTATTTGCTCGCGCGTCTCGCGCGCGCGCCTGTCGTTGCTCGCGCACCTCGCGCGCGCACGTGTTAAATGCTCGCGCGCTCGCGCTGCGCACCCCGCAGCTGGTGAGGCACCATATATGAATTCATAGTTTTGAATCAAGCCAAGCCCTATTTATTTTCAGATCGAACAACTTCACCATGGGCTCCGCGGATTTGAAGAGAATCGTTCACTGATCGTCAAACACGGTCCTCAGAATTAACCTTCCCATATGATCCATGGTGCTGGTATATTTACCTACAAAACTGGGTGATTTTTAGGGTAAATGTTGGCAAATATACCAGCACCATGGAGCATTTAAGGGCTTTTTTGGCACTATGAAATCACTGAAACGCTTCCTACTTGTACACATATCGAATGACTCTCTAGAAACCAACTTGGGTAATCACACACAGCAATGGAGGACAATCCTTGTTTACCATTTCCCGTTTCTATCGCTTGCACCTTCATTTCATCTCATGTTTGTCAACCACATGCTTGATCAAAATCCTGTCTCTAATCTTGGAGATCCTTCCCAAAACTTGGTTACCCTCTGGTAATTTGTTACATAACTATGGAAAATCACCATTGAAATAGTGAATTTTCCCATGAAAGATGGTGGATCTTTCCATAGTTTTTGTATGTTTACCAGAGGGTAAATGGCTGGTTTCAGATTCCTCCATTTATCCCATGAGTAAGCTAGTAAATCAGTGGCCTTAGCCGCATCACGATCAAATCCCTTTTTTGTTTTGGTTGGTTAAATTCCCCCCTATGGATCCAAGTACCTTCTTAGGAAGTGTTTGGGGTATGATTTGGAGGGTTAAGTACCTTCTCAAACAGTGTTTGGATCCATAGGGCCCATTAGTGCTGGTAAATTGGTTCATGTTTCCAGTTTTCCCGAGAAAACCACCCCAATTCGCTGATGCAATTCAATGGTAATATAGGCATGAATGGTAATATTAGTAGAATCTATTACTATCTACTAAATTTTGATCAATGCCTATTAAAACCATTTCAATATCGAAACCCACATTTGGGGATGGGTCAAAACCCTATCCCCCTGGTGAACATCAAAATAGCTGGTAAATGGATGGTCATTCCCCTAAAAATTGTATTAATAGGTATTGACCCATACCCATTTTTTTTGCACAACGAGCAACGGCTGATGAACCATCTCCTGTGAACGGCGAAAGTCGCGGCGAACGGTGCAAGGCAACGGTGCTGAGATTCTGCTCCAACGGTTGCGAAGCGCTGGAACCGAAAGGACACTCTGCCGGCGCAGCGGTCCCCGGTAAAAAAAATGCCCAAAAAACGATGGAACATCAGCATTTGATATAGGTAAATTAGGTAAATCAACGAAGTCAATGGCCATGTTCAATAATAGCTAATTCTTAATTTTTTTCAGAGGGTACTTGTTGTTTCCGGTGATGGTTTAACCTCGATCATTTTCCATATTAGATTGATAAGATTGATCTTTTTCGGGATTCATAGGATATGCTCCATGGTGCTGGAATATTTACCTACATTTCCCCCAAAAATGGCCCAGTTTTGTAGGTAAATATTCCAGCACCATGGAGCATATGGGATTGGGGCAATGATTGGGATAATATACTCTCATGGGAATCCAAAGCTAATGTTGTTTTTTGATTCCCCGAACTAATGGATGGATGACCCAATCCCCAATATGGATGTCGCAACTTTTGACCATGATATATATATATATATAAGGTGGGGCTTCCAAAGGATAACTAAGTCGATTGAAATTACTAGGTTACAGTAAGTGCATGGTTTATGGTAGATATATCAACTAGTTCATGAGGTGAAAAACGTAGCTGGCCGGGCATCACCTTCTAGAGAAGGAAACTAATCAAGTCTAATAAATCTAATAAATACTTCAGCCAGACACAAGAGTACTGTAAACCAAAATTGCGCTCTGTATCCCTATGGATCCAAGTACGGTCCCTTTTCTTGGACGTGGTTGGGATATGATTTAAGGAGCTTCAATACCTTGTATCTGAAGGGTACGGCATGGCTAATAGCTTCGATGGATACCCCTCGTTTTTCGTTCTAGTGGACTGTTGTCACTGCTGTCATTATTATCAACGCTATCATTCCCGTTATCATTCCTATTCTATACATACCATTGTGTTCTTCTGTTCATCATCAGCCAAACATAAATCCATCAACAAAGGTTTCTGGCTGTTTCTATCCTATTATATCTCAATTCTTATCCGAATAAAAATCCATAAAACCAGAAAAAATTGGCCAAACCAAGGTTTAACATAGCCATTTATATGACATATATATCATATATCCAAGCTATTCATAGCCAGTCACCAAGGTGTTTCACAAATGATACAACAATGGGCCAGCACCGTCCATGCCACGAATCATGGCGACACACGTCATGGGATCGACATGTTGATCGCGACTGGAAGAATGTGTTTTTTGTCTCAAAAATGGCTATGGATCAATACCTATTAATACCATTTTAGTGGGATGAACATCCATTTACCAGCTATTTTGGGGTTCACTAGGCACCAGGGTTTTGACCCATCCCCAAATCAGGAAACATGGATTTTTCCTGGTGCATCGCTAGTTTCTTCTATGTTCACTGTGAAAATGCTTGGGATGTTGTGTTCGAGTTGTTGATGGTTTCAATCCATCTTACCCCCTTCTAATGTACCTAAATGAGTGGAAAGAACACTCTGGGTTTAAAAACGGATAGTATGGATTTGTCCTAAAACAGAGTACCCCAGATTGTCTTGGTTGATTGTCATCCCTCCCCGCTTTTGGACAAACCTATCTCTTTTCTTCTGGATATACTCTTATAATCTCTTATACTTTGAGGCTCCATAGGATCCATGGTGCTGGTATATATACTAACATGTGGGGTATATTGATGGGATCCATGTTACCATATATAGCAGCACCATGGATCCTATGGGAAATGAGGACCGGAACTATACCTGCACAAGATATACCTGTCCAACATGCAGAAACTCATCCTGGTCGGCCATTAGGAGATGCGCCGCCTTGAGTTATGTCACACTTGGGACGTCGCAACATCATCTGGTTGGTGTTTTTTCGCCACCCCTCTGAAAAATGATGGAGTGAAAGTCAGTTGGGATGATGAAATTCCCAATATATCCCAATTAATATGGAAAATAAGTCCAAGTTCACTATGGTTTATAGGTGATATATATATATATATACTGTTAACTTTCGTAATTCCTTGCTGCTAAGGTATTAGGGTTGTATATAAGCCATGCGGGTATGGCAGAAGGGCTTGTGAGGAAAGATATGAACGCTACTCTGATTTGAAGGAATTGAAATAAAACCGGGACCACGTGCATGAGCATGTGCTTCGAAAATCAGCATGGTGGCCCAAAGTGAAGATGCAAACATATAATCGGAGACAGCTTGAGAAAGGTTTGCAACACTGTGATACACATCTGGACAAACTGAGCAAAGAATATATATCAATACATTTTGGCAACAAAACTGCTTAAATCATTTGCCAATGCAGCTGCCTTCAAATGGCTGATGAACTTGAAATAAGCTTTAGGATATTTGCAAACCAACAGTTTTAGCTTGACATCCAGTTCCACTGGGTTTTAGGCAATTTGTGTTGAATCATGTAATTGCACCCATCCACATGGTTCAATTTGTGAAGATTTTGGGTGACAAAACTAGTAGATGGTGTCAGTGTCGGCCAAAATAAAGTCGTCGCAGAAGACCACAGGAGTCACAAAGAACCGAATGCAGGCACCTAAAGAAATTATCCAAAACAAATATTTCCAATATTTTCCAACAGCTTACTGGACTTGTTCCATGACCATGGTGAGCTGCCGGCAAGAAGGCCATTGAGAAGTAATTTACATGCTTCAATGATCTTCAGTGTTTGTTTCGCTTTTGTTTGTCAAATCTTGTTTCATTATGTCAGTTTTGTTTTAACTGTTTTTTGTTTTTTGATGTAAATCGACGTTTACTTTCTTATTGTTTGCAGCCAGAAGCCTTGCAGGCTGCTCATTTTTTTGTTTCAGCAAAGGCCCGCCGCAGGCGGCATTTTTGAGTTGTGGGAAAAGTCAAATTTCCTTACATTCTAGGCCAGCCCCTCAGCTAGGAAATAAGGAAAATAGAAAAACAAATAATGAGAAACACATACAAATAAAACATGGCAAAAAAAAACATGAGAACCATGCATTTGGTAACAAAACGAAGAAAAAATATAGAAACGAAAAGGAAACCGAGGTACATAGAAACAACCAATGAACGAAAAAAAGGAAAAAACAATAGCAAAAAAAGAAAAAAAACACGAATAGGAGTAAAAAAACAAAAAGCCGAAAAAAAAAACAACGGAAACAAATAAATGGAACAAAAAATGAAAAGAAAGAGAAAAAAAGGAACGAACAAAAAAGAAAAAACAGGAAACAAAAACGGGAAAAGAAAAAAACAACGAAAAAAAACATACGAAAAAAATAGATGAAAAAAAAGGAAAAAACGGAGAAAAAAAAGGAAAAAAAGGAAAACAAAAGGAAAAAACACGAAAAAAAAACAACATAACAAACGAAATGAAAGCAAAGAAAAAACAACGAAAAAGAAAAAAAATCAACGAACAAAAAAAAAACATGGAGAAAAAAAATTCGGAAAAAAAAACGAAAAAAACAACGCGAAAAAAAAAATAAATAAAAAAAACATGAAAAAAACGAAAAAAAAAACGAAAAACATCGAGAAAAAAATCAAAAAAACCCGCGAAAAAAAAAAAACGAAGAAAATCGAGAAACACAAATCGAAAAAAAAAACGCGAAAAAAAACACCGGAAAAAATCGAGAAAAAAAATCGAAAAAACAAACAAAAAAAATCGAAAAAAAAAATGGAAAAAAAAAGGGCGAAAAAAAAAAAACGAAAAAAAATCTTACTTCAGGCAAAAATACCTTAAATTCAGCCCTAGGGTTGAATTTGAGGATGCTGTGATGACTTTGGCATAGTGAATTGCAAACAAAAAGCCCAAAACAATGAAAAAATATCAAAATTACTATGCCAAAAAAAGAAATTTGGCCTACAAAATCCACTCCAAAACCAATATTTCTCATATTTTGGAGCAAAAATATAGGCCAAAGTCATCACAGCATCCTTAAATTCAACCCTAGGGCTGAATTTAAGGTATTTTTGCCTGAAATAAGATTTTTTTTTTTTCCGTTTTTTTTTGTTCGCCTTTTTTTTTGGTCGTTTTTTTTGTTTTTCAATTTTTTTCTCGATTTTTTCGTTTTTTTTTTCGTTTTTTTTTTTTTTGTTTTTTTTTCTTTTTTTTAACCGTTTTTTTTTCCGTTTTTTTTTCCGTTTTTTTTCTCGATGTTTTTTCCGTTTTTTTTCCCGATTTTGTTTTCCGTTTTTTCTTCTTTTTTTTAGCGTTGTTTTTTTTTCTTTCCGTTTTTTTCTTTTTTTCGTTTTTTTTTTGTATTTTTTTTTCTGTTGTTTTTGTTTTCTTTATATTTTGGATTTTCTTTACCTTTCCATTTTTTGTTTCTTTCTTGTTTTTTTTTGGAAATGGTTCTAATGTATTTTTTTTTTGCTTGTGTGTTTTTTCATTATATATTTGTTATTGTATTTTCCTTATTTCCTTAATCTTACTGGCCGGCGTTGAATTCAAAGAATTTTGACTTTTCCCACAATTATATGTTGCAGGAAAAACATATTTAAAAAGTTTATTTCAGTGTTTTTATTGGAAAATTCCTTGTGTAAAAAATCAAAAACGGTGGATTTTGCAAAAAGATCAAATTTCATTTTTTTTTGAAAAAAGAAACATGGGAAAAAGTCGAATTTCCTTAAATTCAAGGCCAGCCTTTGAATTTAAGGATTTTGCGGAGACAAAAAAAAACACACAGAAAACATAAACAAGAGAAAAACATAGAATGAAAACGCAAAAAGGAAATAAATGAAAAACTGAACAGAATTTTAAAAAAAAAACTAGAAGAATTGAAAACAAGGAAAACACAATACATCTATTTATTGTTTGTTTTTTCATTGCTTTCAGATTGATGGAATTAATGCTTCCTGGGCGACGATCCTATGCTCAAAAATGTCGCCTGCGGCGGGCCTTTGTTAAAGACTACCTTTTGTGAGCAGCCGGCAAGGCACAGGATTCTGGCTGCAAAAAAAAGAAAGTAAAACTGTACTGAAATAAAATAGAAGAAACAAATGAAAAAAATTAACTGAACTCTTGGCCGTGTCCCGAAATTAATTGCGCAACCCTGTCTTCGCAACCCTCT